CCCTTTTTTTTTTTTTTTTTTTTTTTGTCTATATACCCCTAGCCCTTTCCTGGCTGGTATTCTATTCCAGATTAAAAATAATAATAATAATATACTTTGCTCATTTGCCTTCCTATATCATTCTTTGGTAAGAATTAAGAACCAATACTTATGGATTCATGCATATACCATTTTTTTCTTATTCTCTTCACAGTTGCTTTCTTTGGTTTATCAACTTCAAAGGCAGTTCAGTAACTCTAGGACTCTCTGCCCTTAAAGGTGGTGGGATGAATGTCCTTCCAATGAAGCTAGTTCATGTTTTTAATAAAAAAAACAGCCAAGTAAGTACAGAAAACATTTTAGATTAGTAAGTATGATACATCCCTGCTCTCCTGATAGGAAGACAAAGCACACCTAGGTAAAATACCTTGCACATTTATACAAAGGTTTAAGGCTACAAAAGCAGATCTCCAGCTTTTGTTAAATGCTTTAAGCATTAAGTTTACTACTTTCCTTTGTTGAAGAGGTTAAGTTTTAAGATGATATAAAGGTGCCAGCTTGTTTGATTTTTATTACCAAGAATGAATATACTTTAAGCAAATAAACAGTAATAGCACCAGGTCTGCAAAGGGGTGACATGTCAGAACCTCTCTGGTGTTTTGTCAGTCACATTTTCTGCATTTTTTTTCACTTTTTCGTATGTCACATAAATGAAACAGACTGAGAAAGGAACTTTTGAAGTTTGTATTTCTTTTCTTTGGGGAAAAAAAGCAACCTACCTTACAAGCTGTTTCATATAAAAGTACTGGCTATTGCAGGATGGTTTTCTCTTCAAGTTGTTTTCCCATACTTTTACCATATTTTTAACCATATTATATAAGGCAGTCGACCAGCTTAATCTTTCTTCTAATGCCGTCATCATGGACCCCTTTTTAACAAGTATTTAGCAGAATAATTTTGTTGCAAGAAAGCAACCACAAAACAGTAGATTCACTGAAATAAGCAGATCTCCTTGCAGGAAAGCTGACAGCAGACAGCTGTTTTTAATCTTGTTTATGAGGAAAGAGAGGGAAGCTGGCTGGAACATGCTGTTTGAAGTCTTCCACTTTGTGAAGAGAAAATTGAAATCAGTCTTGATTGATTATACAAAGGTAATGACCAAGACTGGTTAAGACTGCCTGGAAAATTGTTCAATTCTGTTGGTCCTATCCATGTGTAACCCAGGAGAGGCACATTTGAAAAAGGCAGATCTCTCCTTGAAATTTCCCCTTAGTAAGGGCACTGGAAAAAATGCCAGTGTTCATTACAATTCTGTGACAGAACTCACCCTGCATATATGGGGTGGTAAGTGTAGTAGTAGAAGCTGTTTTAAGTTTGTTTTCCTAGAAGCAGCAACTCTGCTTTGTAAGCAGCTTTGAAATATGCTGTATTGGTGCACATGGTGTGCAGATGCCTAGCTAGATGGGTCAGAAACAAAGTAGTATCTTTGCTTATTTCTGAGGGTTTGTGTTCTCTCCTGCTACTGTCCAATGGAATCTCTTAATTTATCCAGACTGGGAACTGTGAGGTTTTTTGTGTGTGTGTTTTGTTTGTTTGTTTTTCATTCTACATCCTAGATTTTCGTAGAATCATAGAATTGTTAAGCTTGGAAGGAACCTCTGGAGGTCATCTAGTTCAATCCCCCTGCACCTCCGGGGTCACCTAGCGTACATGCACAGGACTCCGTCCCAGTCAGCTTGGAAGATCTCCAGAAAGGGAGATTCTACAACCTTTCTGGGCAACCTGTTCCAGTGCTCTGTCACTCTCACTGTTAAAAAAAAAATTCCTTGAGTTCCTGTAGAACTTTTGGTGTTTCAGTTTGTGGTCATTACTTCTAGTTCTGTTAGTGGCCACCCCTGAAAAGAGGCCCCATCCTCCTCACTGCCTCCCTTGAGGTACTTCTAGACACTGCTCAGGTCCCCTCTCAGCCTTCTCTTCTTCAGGCTGAACAGGCCCAGCTCCCTCAGCCTCTCCTCATAGGGCAGATGTTCCAGGCCCCTGATCATCCTTGTAGCCCTGCGCTGGACTCTCTCCAGCAGCTCCACATCCCTCTTGTCCTGTGGAGCCCAGAACTGGACACAATACTCCAGATGTGGCCTCACCAGGGCTGAGTAGAGGGGCAGGATCACCTCCCTCGACCTGCTGGAGACGCTTTTCCCAATGCAAGCAATGCATGCAAGGATCCCATTGGCCTTCTTGGCCATGAGGGCAGACTGCTGCCTCACGGTCAACTCGTCATACACCATGACGCCCAGGTTCCTCTCTGGGACCTCTCACAGTCCTGTGCCACGTGCTCTAGGTGACCCTGCCTGTGCAGGGGCGTTGGACTAGATGACCTCTAGAGGTCCCTTCCATCCCTAAGCATTCTGTGATTCTATGATTCTATGATACTTTGCCTGGGCTCTGTAGTTCATGGGAGCTAGTCTTAGCAGTAAAGACAGGCACAAAGAAGGCATTTAACAACTCTGCCTTCTCTGTAAGCTCTGTCACCAAGGCACCCTCCTTGTTCAACAGTGGACTAACATTTTCCCTAGTCTTCCTCCTGCTGCTGATGTCTGTATAGAAGCCCTTCCTGTTGCCCCTGACATCTCTCGCTAATTCTAATTCCAAATGGGCCTTGGCCTTCCTTGTTGCATCCCTGCATTCTCTGACAGTATTCCTATATACTTCCCATGTGTCCAGGCCCTTCTTCCACATTACATACATGCTCTTTTTCTCATTAAGTTTACCCAACAGCTCCTTGATCATCCACACAGGTCTCCTGCCCGCCCTGCTCAACTTCTTTCTTGTAGCAATGCACCAATCCTGAGCTT